ATAGAATTCTCTTGAAGAAAATGATAGAAACGCAAATGAAGCTGATGTTGAGAAAAATAGCTATTTGATACTAAAGAAAATCTTTTGTCTATCAAATTTGGGGTTCCGTGGCTATATTTATATAAAAAATAGTATCTGTTCGCATTATGTGCGCTCTGGACCACAAAATTGTATAACAAAATGTAAAAGGAATGACTTTTTAAAATAAATAGCTGGCCAGACTGTTCTCTCACAGGCATCCATGTGATTCGGGATTCGCACATCCTTTTTCTCCAGATTAGCTATCTCACTTATAGTTTGTCTATACAATAATCATGTCTTCTTAATTCCGTCTGACAAATCTACTCTCCTATTGTGGTGGCCGCAGTTCCGTCTTCAAGTGAAGACCTAAGAGGAAATGGAAAACCTGTTTGATGCAAACTCAACATGCATGCGTGGCCAGCACAAAGTCCGAAACGGCACAATAAGTAAAAAAGAAATAACAACTTTTCCATCTAAATCCCGAAAGACAACCGAACTTCATGCTTGAGAAGCTTGGGGATAAAAATGTGTAATTCTAGCTATTGAAACAACTCACAGTTAGCATTCAATCCAAATGTAACAACCCATGTATACTTTATGCTTTATCATAAAGCTTTCGGTGCTTACTTATAAAACTACATAAAATGTGCATTAAGTGATAGTAAATTTAATACGCTAATTGCTGAAAACGACTATCAATGAAGTCAATCAGAGCTGCGGTTGGTTACTTCATTGCTCGCCGCCGTATTATTCTGGTTATCTGTGCCTGAAGCAAATATGTTGACTGAGTCAGGGATTTTCAGTGTCATATACCATGCCAGTACTAATGAAACGCCACTTAGTACCCAGACAAAATGAGAGTTGAATGGATAAAAGAACGCGTGTTTGACAGACCAGCTCCAGAGATATCCAGAAATTAAAGGACCGAGCATGTACGTAACTCCATTAACCTGGTGTTGCAGTCCATTCACAAAACCAAGAAGATTCTTTCTTGGTGCTACATTGGCGACAAGAATATTGACGCTTGTGAAAGCCAGGGTATCTCCATACATGCGGATACAGAGCTCAATAAAGAGTGAGGCCATAAATACGCAGCCGTCTATAGTGAGTATTCTTGAAATACCAGACCCTCCGGGACCTTCAGCCGAATTTCCCAAAAATCCTGCCAACATTGACAGAAAGGGGAAAGTAGTGCCAAATACTGCAAGCCATAAAAGCCCGCGACGATAGCATTCAAGCGCGCCGTACTTGCGCTCGTACTTTGGATACAAAGCCAACTGCATGTACACGACAAGAAGCCCGCATAGCATAAATGAGTAGCCTATTGTTCGGGCGTCCATTCCTAGCCCTCCGTCAGCAATGTCCGTGGCTGCAAATATAGGATAAAGCTGGTTGTGCATCGATATCGCAAGACACAGAACAAGATTTGTTATAAGGATGCGTATAACTGTAGGTGTCAGAATATCCCACTTTGAAAATTGTTCAGACTCGGAACCAATACGGCATCTGCCTTCCTCGCTTTGTGCCTCGGACACGAGCGGAGTAGCCTCTGAAACTATGCCGCTGGAAGGGCGTGCTATCGATTTTATGTCAAGCGTTTCTTCTAGCTGAAAGTAACCGACGACCAGCCCAAACAAGCTGATTGATGAACCAACAAGACATGGGAGCAGATAGGGGTACTCGCGAAATAATATGGAATTGCCAAAAAGGCCTGGATAGTTCTTTACCGGATCAACAAACAACCCACCAATAGCACCGCCAAGCATTGACCCAAAGTGCCACATAAGTGGAAACATAGCCATCATACGGCCGCGGTTTGTATCATCAGAGATCTCGGCAATAATTGATTTTATGACCACTGTTCCGCCAGTGAAGAAGCCATTAAGGGAACGTGCCACCAACGCCCATTTAAAGGACTTTGATACCCCAAACAACACAAATGTGAGTAGATCGCCCAGCAGCCCCATGAGTATTACCGGACGACGACCAATGCGGTCGGACAGAATGCCCCAATGGATGATTGTCAGCGTCCTTAGAAACTGGTAGGACATGGTGAGAAGGCCTGCGTAAAATGCAATGTCTTTGCTGTCATGAACTATGTCGAAATCACCAACCATCTGGTAAATAAATGGCAAGATTAGAGTAAACCCGACAGGCTCTGTGATCCGAACGGCTAGAAGTACAACGAGTGTACCCCAGGGCAGTGGTGTTTCTTTAACAACCTCATTATTATCTTTATTCTGTTCTTGTGCGTCTGCTTTGCTGTTTGACATTATAGGTATAGTCTAACGACCAAGATAGATATATGCTCTGGCTTTAAAGATAGTGCTATAAAAAGTGGGAAACCTATAAAATGGAGAAATAGAGACGGATGATTAGCGATGAAGAGTGTTGACTTGTTTAAACCCGGCTTTTCTTTCATTACTTATACTCGGCTTTTAGCTGGGGTTTAAACAAGTGAGACAAGATGCATTAGTGCATAATTGACGTTACACAGTAGAGATTTCCGTATAGAAAATCAGATTCATTTTACGGAAATCTCAAATGACAGACACGATTAATGTATTGGAAATGCGACTAAACCTACATGTCAAAAAGAAAAAGACACACATAAACTATTCACTGGCTATACCTAGTTTCATTATGTGTCTTTTCAGACATGTATTTCAGACATTGCTCAAAATATCCGATTTGTAAAAGACGTAAATAGCCTATTATTATATTATATATCATATGTCGCAATGCACAACAACCTCTTTATATGCTCAATCTCAGATTCTTTATTAAATTCTTTATACAATTGCCTAATACAAGCCTGTATATGTTTGTTAAATATCTGTTTGGTATTGTCAGAAATGCTACTTTTACTAAACGGGGGCTTGCTTGATCTAAATAGAATGATTATCTAATTACGTGGACATTGAAAAGGAAAATACGACTGATTATACACATCCCTATTGGAACATGTCTCTATAGATGTCAATATAAGCAGAATCCCTTCTGACAAGGCAGAAAATAAGAAAAATGGTCTATACACTGGGACTTCCGTGGGTTGAACACGGGACATTGCGAACTTAAGTCGCCCGCTCTCCCTCTGAGCTAAAGCCCCAGTACCTGCGCCAAACCCTCTTGGATCCAGCACAGTAGAAGAGCTGCATCCATTATATCAAACCCAAGTTAGAGCGGGCCAAAGCTTACTGTCTTGGAATCTCTAACACAAACAATAGTGGCTGGAACTGCGACTGATAATACTTGCCATCTTAGTTTTTTTAACATTAACAACAAAGTCTATGCAAAAAACAAGAGCAGTGAAGGAAAAGCTACTCTCACCCATCTATTTTCCATCTGCACGTTGGTAGATTGTAGCTCTTGATCATCCAGTACGGCCGCTTGATTCCTTTCCATGTCTCTTCATCCATCACGATGTCGCTAGCAACTTTGGTAAATTCGGTCGAGATTCCACGTTTCTGGAGATCCGAAGACACAATGTGGCAGTATACATCGTGGAACAGCTTGTGATCGCCACCCAGCCCGTTAAAAAAGCTGTAAATGCCATCGGGCTTGTTCAGGAGCGGCTGCTGCGTGCCATTGTTTGAGTCGAATATGGCCTGGTGAAAGTCATCGAGGTCTTTGTAGAATTCGCCAAATGTGTCAAAGAAAATTCCGTCATAGGGCCCAAGGCTGCGAATCTCATCGATTTTATCCTGCCATCTGCCAAAAACAATGTGGACATTGGGAATCTCATGCCATCCTTTGTCCTTCATATGCTTGTAGACGTCGGGGTGGGCTTCAACAATGACATGCTTTCCAGGACCAAGCTCCTGCAATGAAGAGTCGATTATCCCCATGCCAAAGCCAACATTAAGTACGGTTCCACCGCCGTCTGGGCAAATGGTCTTGGCATGCATCTTCATCAGTGGAGTCTCCCAGCCCATCATTACTCCGTTTTTCTCGGCATCCACAAGAGTATCACCCGTATACTCGACTGGCTGTGACAAGTAGTCTTCATTTGCCGCCTTATTGGTAGAGGAAGCTCCTGGATTAAGCATCCTTAGCACCATCTCTGCACGGATACCAGCTTGCACAAGCTCGTTGTAGGCTGCATCATGGCCGCCTGATTCAGCATAATCGCCTGCAGTATAATTACCCACATCCAGAGAATTCCATGGAATTCCAGCTTCGAGAACAAATCTACACGACACAAGGAAAAATGTTGGAATATTTATATACTCGAATTCGTTTGTCAATAATATACAAGAGACATGTGGAACAAAAGAAACAGGAATGTTACAGCACATTTTGCTTTTCATTTGTGGATCATGTGTAAATATAGCACAGAGGTTGTCTTTTCGTTCCTTTTACATACAATACAAGCAAGGATCAGTAATATAAATAGTCACATGAACAAAGAAAGGTTGTCACAAACTGTAGAGGAACAATGAATTGCGAATCTCCGCAAATAGAGAATGAGATCTGTAGAAAAAATACAGAAGGTTTTCCTTGGCATACCTTACAGTGTCGACGTCTCCACTGGCAGCAGCAAAATGCAATGATGTCCGGCCGGTCTCATCGGTAACAAAGATCTCTGCGCCTTCCTTAACAAGCTCCTTTGCACGCTCCGGATTGCCTTCGTAGCATGCAGCCAAGAGCTGCGCTTCTTTAGAAACAGGATCAGATCCGTTTTCCTGATTTGTGTCCGTCATTGAGCAGGGAAACAGAAGCAGCGTAGTCTTTTAAGGCTGGATAAGAGAAAGAGATATCACGACTAGCCAGTAATGCCTGAACAATTAGACCCACCCGTGACAGTACTACGAAAGAAAAGGAGGATTCCAAGGGAGGCTGATTTCTAGCAATAGGTGATTTCCAAGGTCGGGGAGTAAACGATAAAGGGGAGGAAAGACAGCAGCCAATACAAGTGTGGCGGGTTTCTTGATTTCAGGCGGAAATTCCGTGGGATAATCCACAAGCCCAGTACGAGGCAGTGTGTCACGGCATTATGGTGAGAGAAACGCTGGCACATGACTCACGATCCGTTGTAAATTTAGAATAAACCCACTCATCTATGGCGGACAGGGCAGGAGATTAACTTCAATGTCTATTTTTAAAAATTAAAAGCCCAAAACAGAACAAAAAACCAAAACAAAATAACCATTAGCGCTTGTTATCGGTGATAGCCATTGAGAAAGAGAAAAGCATAGGTTTTGAAATCCGCACATTCTGATTTCCCGCAAGAACCTCGGAGCACTTGGCATAAATCTACCACATCAAAAGAGGGAAAAACAAAAGATTTATCAAAAAGTTCTAGGCATCTTGAAACTTTTTTTTATTTTCTTGTGATAATCACTCGTTGATGTTTTCTGTAGGCCTGCAACAGAATAAAAGAGAGAAAAGGCTAGAAGATGCAGATGCACTTTGCAACAACAATGGCTGGAAAGAGGGATTATTTTTTATATATTTACTCTTTATTTCTTTCTACTGCGGTAGGCTTGGGCTTACGGAAAGCAAACAAGCAGGAATGAAAATCGAATACACCCGACATATCCATGTGGTAAATGGAAATAAAGATATGGCTTGTTTTCTACCCTTTTTTATTCACTCTGCGGAACATGTCCCAAGCATTATGTCGGCATGTGGCCACAATTGCCTGAGGTTTCGGACAGTAAGCAACAAGCGATAGAAGGAGAACCTGAATCAAACAAAGCAGTCAATACGAAAAAAAAGTGCTGCAAAAAAGTAGATTTTGCTCAAAAGACCAAACACATGCCGACAAGGACACGACGAATTGATGTGCGCTTACGAAGAACATGAAAGAGGGAAAGGCGTAACAGAAAAAAAGGATCTGGAAAAGAGAGAAAAATGCGGTTGGTTGAGCCCGTGTGCCTGTCTCTCTTTTCCTGCCCAACAAGCTGTGGGCGAGAATATTGCTCCTTTTTTTGCCAAGACTCTCCAGCCCATAGAATCTCAGCAGAGGACTGCGTGTGCCCATCAGCAGCAATAGCGATGAGTATAAAAACCATATATTTTCCTTTCTGTTCTTTTTTCCTTCTAGCAGTCTCGTCATCCTCTCTTTCTTTTCCTCGATCCTTGAGAAAAGCCATTGGTTTTTTTTTGCCAGAAAGCCCGCGCTAACAATCCCCTCTAACCCCTTCTTTTCCATGCCTGAATGCCATTTCTACTGCTAGTTAACCTGAGGCTTTCCTTGTCGTCAATTATTCGCTAACTGAACCGTATATATGCAGATTCCTCGTATCCTCGCACACGCCCACCACCTCTTCCGTTCTCGACCTCTGCCTTTTACTTGATCTTGCACAATTGCGAGCGCCCAATACATCCACATCAACCTTCCATTCTTTCATTTTACGTTCTCTCTTCTCTGTTGTTGTTGTTGTTGTTGTTGTTCCGTAAACGTCTGCAACACAGCATTGGTCTTCATATCCAGCCACTGGCGCACATGAGTCTTTTCCACTTTTATGAATTTCCAAGAGGATTAATGTATTAGCCGTTATCTGTATTATTTTGTTTATTTACATTTTCTTTTTTTTGCCTCTTCTTTCTTGTTGCTGCGGCCACGATATTAAAGGCCAACACTCAATATTTCTTTCCTCAACCTCCCTCGTTTTTGTTGTGTTTTGGCCAGAGTGCAGAACTATACATTAATCTCAAAGACAATATATAGTCTTTCCAATTCCTTTTCCTTTTTTTCTGTTTTTCTCTTCTTTTTCATTTCATCGATTTATATAACAATTCAACGACGATAAGCGGCGGTACATTGCAATACACACACGAACAGCTTTACTTTTGTTATCAATATATAGGAAGCCGCAAGCAACTACAATAACATAATGTGTGAGTACCTCAACCATACACACAACAATTCTGCTGTGAACAAACATTTATTGCAAGGGATTCAGAATGAACACGAATACAAGAACGCATCTTCGACATTGCCGCCACTCTCCTGTAGCTGGAACTACTACATCGT